GCCAATGATCTTGTAAAGCTAACAATAGCACCTTTAGTCGCACTATAGTCCACCATACCGCTTGTACCTCGGAATGCCACGGTAGATGTGGTATTGATGATGCTGCAGACCAAATTAGCCACAGGCAGCTGGTTCCAAAGCAAAATAGAGAAACTGACGAGTCGCCCTTGGATAGATGTGGAAGGGCAAATTTCGTGATAGCAAACATCTGAATGATATTGCTCTCGAAGGTGCTGGTAACATTGTCGAGATCAATTTGCGCGAAATCCTTGCACATGAACTGCTTGGAGGCGTTGTTGACGAGAATGTTCAGTTTTTTATACCTGGGCTTAGTATGAGATAGAGCTTCGTAAGTAGACTAATCATAATAAGGCCACGCACGTGTTCATGTGCTCTTCAACAGCTTTGCGACACGTTTCGCGACTTCTCAAATCTCCGCTGAAGAGGTGGCATGATTTGCCCTCGGCTTCAACCATCTTCTTGGTATCCTGAGCATCCTCTTCTTCTTCGGGTAGGTAGACAATGGTGACGTCGGCCCCTTCGCGGGCCATCAAGACCGCGACCGATCGGCCAATTCCGGAACTACGAGGACGTGAGCTTTTCGGTTTTGGCCTTCCTATATCATGCCAGTATAGGAGACATACTCGCCGCCAGTGATAAGAGCTTTCTTGTCCTTCAGTTTTCCAGAACCGACATACTCGACGAAAGTGCCGCTGGATTCCAGCTTGGTCGCTTCACTTGCTGGTGCCATTTTCTTCTCTAACCTGAGATTGTCTCTTAGCTTCGCTAATTTCTTCTAAGAATACTCATAGAGAGAAAGCGAATTTAAAACAACGAGGAGAAACACTGTGAAGGGGAATTACCCTGGCGTATTCTGGGATTGAGCTGCCTGTGGCGGCTGGAAAACGCCTTCTTTTCCCATTGCGGATGCCATTGTGACTATTAGTCGTGCGATATGATTGCTATGAGAAGTTATTGTTTGAACAGTAAGAAATCCATGGCTTTGGCGCTACCTATATAGGTCGGGCAGCTTTCTTTGCCTTTTGTCACCCTGGCGTCATAGTTGTACTACGTAACCAAGTCCGCGAACCGCATCTCCGCATTTCACCTCTCGATCTGTATCGTAGCACACCAAAGAATTCGCCAAATCGATTTAATTGAATGCTTAAATGTCTTTGATATATTGCTAGAGAAATATGTATCATCGCTATTCTCAATTTATATTTCAAGCTTATAGTCGCCGCCTGGCCGGGCTAGTGCTACAATTCAGATACCATGCTCAATAAGATAGCAGGGAGTAGACAGATAAGCATTTACAATCGCATAAAGTTCAATGAAGCCTAATTCAATAGGAAAAGCCAATGCCAACGGAAGATTGGTTAAATTCAGCAGCAAATACCGATAAGCCACATGGAGAGTCGTAAGTGTAACCCTCTCCTCAAAGTTATTGAAACAGTCACACTGCGCCCTGCAACAACCTCAGAATTATCAGGTGGAAAAATGACATAGCCGTAACACTCCCCGCAAACACTATCATTTGGGCCCCCAGCTATACACATCTGTAAACAGTATTTGCTTCTCAATTGGACGTCATCTGCCCTACAGTATATGTGTTCCGTCTCTAGGGCTCCATGGGCCCGCGGAGGTACTCACAAGGAGCAAAGGACAAGATTAAGATCGTTATTTGAATCCAAGAATAAAAGAGACAGTACTCCTCGCATGTCAACTGATCATTTAAGTACACTTGCTAGTACACCTTAATATGCCTTGACCAGTGCACCTAGATGGTGATTCATATATAAATCCGGGGTTCTTGGACTACACTGCGGGGAAAGAATTAATCTGGTCCGAGCATATAGCCTATGCAGCACCACTTGGACCAATACGTTACTGTTGAGAATTACAGTGGTATCTGGACCAAAAGCGTCACCAATGCGAATAATCCAGTTAGATTCAACAACGTCCTCAGCAAGCTCAATGTATCGTTACATGCATTCAAGACAAGACCGTGGGCATCTTAGTTATCTTATCAACGAGACTAGGAGCCGCTAACCCCATCTTGGCGTATGCGCGAAGTGGAAAATAAACTAAAGACAAAGTTGATAGAGGAGAGAACTTATATAAAATGTATCGTGAAAAGTAATCCCTCACATGACCAGTCAGTAACAGTGCTGCTAAGTATCCAAGTCATTGCAATTGCCGCAAGCAGCGATTAGGCATCACTCCATGGGAAGTTTAACCCCGAACCCCGCGACGGTTCCTTAAAAAATTGATAAGCGGGACTGCAAAAATTTTCAGCAGAACTATTATTAACCATCAGTCAGGATGGAAAAATAATCTGGTTCTTTCAATGTCACCCCCTCCTCACTCACCGCCTGGCCTGATTTCGTTTAGCAGCCAATCACAGCATTGAACAGCCAGCGGGAAGGCGAACCATACCCGTTGCGGCATGAATTCTGCAGGGATCGCTAGCGTGTGCGGCAGAAGTCAAAAGCCAATTTTTTTCTCCTCCGATTTTTCTTCCTTTTTCTTTCTTTCTTTTCTTTGGGAAAGGAAGACTTTCTCCATCAACAGAACGTTTCTATCGTCGATCTGTTGATTATTTTATATTCTTGACTCTTATCATTCTTTTTGACGAGTTACGATAGAACTGGTAGAGTCTTCACCATGCCTATCTCCAACGGTGACTCTCTTGGCCGCGCCATGCAGGCTGAGATCCAGGACCACACCAAGGCCCTGGAGGTCCTGAAGACCTACACTACTCAGGATGGTCTGGACGTTGACACTCTGCTTGACTCGGACAAGCACGGAGCGTTGACCTACAACGACTTCCTGATCTTGCCCGGATACATCGGTAAGACGAACACCTTGAGTTTCTGGTGATTCTTGTTCGTGCTCGGTTGCTTATACGCCCCATCACAGGCTTCCCTGCCTCCGATGTCACTCTGGACACTCCCGTCACCAAGCGTGTCTCTCTGAAGGTCCCCCTTCTGTCCTCTCCCATGGATACCGTTACCGAGCACAACATGGCCATCCACATGGCTCTGTTGGGTGGTCTGGGTGTTATCCACCACAACTGCGCTCCTGAGGAGCAGGCCGAGATGGTCCGCAAGGTCAAGAGATACGAGAACGGTTTCATCTCCGACCCCGTTGTCCTTTCTCCCAAGGCCACTGTCCGCGAGGCCAAGGAGCTGAAGGCCAAGTGGGGCTTCGGTGGTTTCCCTGTTACTGGTAAGTCTTTACTTTTCTTACCTCCTTCCAGTTTCCCATTCACAGTGATGATTATCCTCTTTTCTATTATAACTTTCGTTCCACTGGAGCAGCGAGAGCAGCACTGTAGAGAAACAGATTTTATCTGACCCTTGTGTTTTATCATAACATGTTCTTCTATTCTGTCTCGAGTCAGACTTGATTCTAACAGCATTTGTTTGAACAGAGAACGGAACCCTCCGCTCCAAGCTTGTTGGTATCGTCACTTCCCGTGACATCCAGTTCCACCGCGACCTTGATGACTCCGTCACCGCCATCATGTCCACTGACCTCATCACTGCCCCCGCTGGCACCACCCTCGCCGAGGCTAACGAGGTCCTCCGTTCCTCCAAGAAGGGCAAGCTCCCCATTGTTGACGAGAACGGCCACCTTGTCTCCCTGCTGTCCCGCAGCGATTTGATGAAGAACCTCCACTACCCCCTTGCCTCCAAGCTCCCCCAGTCCAAGCAGCTCATCGCCGCTGCTGCAATTGGTACCCGTGAGCAGGACAAGACCAGACTCAAGCTCCTTGTTGATGCTGGTCTCGACATCGTTATCCTGGACAGCAGCCAGGGTAACAGCATGTACCAGATTGAGATGATCAAGTGGATCAAGCAGAACTTCCCCGAGATCGACGTTATCGGTGGTAACGTTGTTACTCGTGAGCAAGCCGCGGCTCTGATTGCTGCTGGTGTCGATGGCCTGAGAATTGGCATGGGCAGCGGCAGTGCTTGCATCACCCAGGAGGTCATGGCTGTTGGCCGTCCCCAGGCCATTGCTGTCCGCAGCGTCACCGCTTTCGCCGCTCGCTTCGGTGTTCCTTGCATTGCTGACGGTGGTGTCCAGAACGTTGGTCACATCGTCAAGGGTCTGGCTATGGGTGCCTCCACTGTCATGATGGGAGGTCTCCTTGCCGGTACCACCGAGTCTCCTGGCGAGTACTTCATGAGCAAGGAGGGTCAGCTTGTCAAGTCCTACCGTGGTATGGGCAGTATCGCCGCCATGGAGGACAAGAAGGCTGGCGCTGGCTCCAAGGACAGCAAGGCCAGCAACGCTGGTACTGCCCGTTACTTCTCTGAGAAGGACGGTGTCCTGGTTGCTCAGGGTGTCGCTGGTTCCGTTCTTGACCGTGGCTCCGTCACCAAGTTCGTTCCCTACCTCGTTGCGGGTGTCCAGCACTCCCTGCAGGATATCGGTGTTCCCAGCCTTAAGGCTCTCCACGAGGGTGTGAACAACGGAACTGTCCGCTTCGAGATGAGAAGTGCCAGCGCCATGGCCGAGGGTAACGTCCACGGTCTCCACAGCTACGACAAGAAGCTCTACTCTTAAGCGGTAAAAGCTTGAGTGCCAAAGTTTCTTTGCTTATTTCCTTCTCGTTTAATTGATATCAAGAGCCTTTCTGTTGATACGTTTTGTTACATGATGATATGTGGCTGTTACGAAAACAAAAGCTCGGGCATGGGGAACAGGAGTTCGACTTGCGGTGACGCACCGACTTGGTTAGGGTTATTCAATGCATTATGCCTTTTTCAATGATTCTATACATGATCCTAGACTTCCAATGACAGTCATCAATACCAATCTATCTGTCACAAAATTTATTTTTCCAAAGTTGTAGATCCATCAGCCGTAGATACTGTCAGTGATTGGTGAGAGGCGGTCTGTTGCCGAAAACGCGGGGTCGCAGTAAGCCTTGCCGCAGAACTGCTGCAGGTCGGCTTCTGCCATCTGCACCCTGGGCTCCAATAATCTTTCTCTGTCATTGCAATCCCTCACCTATCTCATTAGCACAGGGATCTGCTGACACTAATGTCTGCGCTCCTTTGGATGGACTATGATGATAGCCTGTGAATCCCTCCTACCCCGGCTGCAAGTTGCCCCAGGTAGCCGGCTGTTAGTTTCAAACCTACCATTTAGACCTACGCAGCCCCGGATACCACTTAGAACCCTCAGTCATCCTATACAACGATGCAATTTTTCTGTTTCCAAGTCCCAGCAGACATCTACAGATCAGATTATGGCGTCTCGAAAGATCCCACAATCCAAGTCTACGCCCGCCGAGCCTCGGCCCAGTTCCAGGTTCGTCATATGCCAAGCTTCGTCGTCTTTCCCGACATACATCCCTACCATTTTCACTCCCTTGCTACTACCTCTTATGTAGCGTCAGAACCTAGTAGACTCAAGGCTAATTATATCCCAGCGTGATCATCATCTCTCCACATAATGAGGTCCTTCTCCTCCACCGTGTCAAGACATCAACGTCATACCCATCAGCACATGTCTTTCCGGGAGGGAACCTCTCCAGCCAGGACGGGCCATGTCCACCGGTAGATGATATCTCCCGACACGATGACGGACCCTGGTATCGAAATGCCGCCATCCGAGAACTATTTGAGGAAAGCGGCATTCTCCTGGCCAAGGACCGTGACTCGGGCAAGATGCTCGCTGTGCCACAGGAGCAGCGCGAAGCCGGTCGACGCGCGATCCATCAGAATAAGATGACATTCGCAGAATGGTTAAGAGAACAGCATCCCACAGCAGTACCAGATACGGAAGGACTGATACCATTTACGCGCTGGCTCACGCCCATCAGACTTCCGAGACGGTATACGACCCAGATGTACCTGTATTTCTTACCCTTGCCGATGGAGATCGAGAAGCCTGTTCTGGATGAGATCCCACATGAGGGTGAAAAAGAGGAGATTCAGGTGCCGACGAGTGATGGCGGAGTGGAGATTTCCGAGGCGAGGTTCTTGCCTGCATCGGAGTGGGTTCGCATGGCGCAGAAAGGCGAGGCTATTTTGTTTCCGCCTCAGTTCATGCTGCTTCATTTGATGGCGGAGTTTCTGAACCAAGGAACACCAGGTATGGAGTCTGTTGAGGAGTTGAAGAAGCAGCGAGAGGAATTGCTGCAGTTCATTCATTCGGGACAGCCGCCGTGGACGGACAAGTGTATTTGTCCAAAGGCGCTGCAGATTGGCTCTGATGGTCTGACTGTGATGAAGTTGGATCATCCTGGACCGGAGCTGGAGGGTACTGATCGGAGGGGAGAAGCGGAGCGGGTCGTACAGCTAAAGTTCATCAAGGGTGTTCCTCGAGAGGTTGTGGTGCGGTGGAAGAAGGATGTATTTGAGGAGAGCCGCCTATAGTAGAAGATGGGTAGATCTGTCAGTAGCCGGCTTGTTGTGTAGTATTATATACAGCGTGTAGATGCCAAACTATACTACCTCAGCAATTATAACTCGTCAATGACTTATGTCCGTCATATTAATGTATCAATTTTCTTATCGAATTTTGTCAATCTCTAAGGATGCTCACTATGTGTGAGAACAAGACAAAGAACGATATATTAAATATACTGAGTAAGAACCTACGAACCGACTAAATCATCGTTTATAAATCTCTCTTCTTGAGCATCACCGTACCTACCCTACAACCATACTACAATCACTCACCAACCATCTCACCAGCCACATTCCAATCATGAAGTTCTCTACACCGCCACACCAGGCAACACACCTTCACCGCCCACCAATCCAACCAAGCCCAACCCACCCGGCAAAAAAGCCTTAGTCATCAGCCCTCGACAAACAATCACATGACCCACAACCCGCGTTCGCCAGAAAGATTCAAGTGGAATTTCACACGCACCGTCCGCCGCCAGTTTAACCCGCCAGCGCAAAACCTCTCACCGTCGTCAACCTCAACCACCCCCCCAAACAACCGTCAAAATGGAGAACGAGAAGGGAGAGATCGTCGATCTGTATGTATCCATTCATTCCAAATTTATTGCTTCGAGTTGTGATGGTTGCGTGAGATGGATATGGAGATATGGATGCGATTCGGTGCTCGATATACGATGATATGATATGGATTGGGCGATCACTATCGCGAATATGTGCGGTGGATGGGGGGATATTATTGTCGATCGACAAGGAAGGACATGATCCGATCTGGATTGAATTGGATCTACGATATGGAAAGAGACGGGCCTGAACTTGAAATATACGGAGAAGGGCAAGCAAGAGAAAGAGGAGGAAATACCGAACACCGATCGCATCGCATATCTCCATGACCATGACCATCACCCACCAACACACATGCGCAATCGCCAAAAGACAGAAATGCTAATAATGCAATTACAGCTACGTCCCCCGCAAGTGCAGCGCCACCAACCGCATCATCAAGGCCAACGACCACGCCTCCGTCCAGATCTCCATCGCCAAGGTTGACGAGAACGGCCGCTACACCGGTGAGAACCACACCTACGCTCTGTGCGGTTTCATCCGTGCCCGTGGTGAGAGCGATGACTCCCTGAACCGCCTTGCCCAGCGTGACGGCTACGTCCGCAACGTCTGGACCGCTGCCCGTCAGCGCTAAGCTCTTTTCTCCTCCTTTTGTTTGAGAGAGTGACGTGCGGTGTTGGGATGAATTTGGAAGTGGGTGGTTATTGATGATGGTACGTTCACCACCAATTTATACAATGTCTTCCACTATGTGGAATTCTTCAGGGCGGCAAGGCTAATGATATTGATGGTATAGGATGAAGATATTTAACTATATCTCCAACAACAAAAAGGGAATCCTTTTCACAAATGAAATGAAAAAACTTTTTTTAACTTTTCCATCAACAATTCAATTTCCATCCTGCTTTCATTTTTATTTCCTTCTTATTATCTCGGTTGGAGCAGCCTTCATCTCTCTTCTGGGGTGCCCTTTCCTTTTCCTTTCTCGTCTGGTACGGAGTACTGTTGTAGCAAGCACACTAGATATCATCTCTTATCATCATCGGCACATCAAGGCTTCCTCACTCCCCCCAATAAACCCCCGGAGAAGAGAAAGCAGAAGAAGGAAACCGTCATCTGGATTCCTCTTTTGTTCTCTTCTCTAGGTCAGGGGACATCCCATGAGTCAGGAGGTAGACAAGTAAACACGCACATCCACCGCCGAATATTACGCTTTACCGCCTGCTGAAGAGCCACTTTGCTGAGACTTGCATCGGGGCACAGATACGGGTGGGACATATCTATCTATCTAGTTAAATCTCCTTAGGTAGTTAGTAGAAGGAAAAGGAAAAGGAAATTGAAGTTTCAAAAACTGAATGCTTTTCATTTCTACTCGTAACCGTGGTCCTTCGTTTCGTAGTTCTCTCTTTCTTTTTTTTATCTCTGTTTCGGGGTTCCTGTTTTGTGTGGTTTATATCACGTAGATCTATGTGGGAGTCATGATATCAAGGGTGGTGGTTCCAACATAAAAATAAGTAAGAAAGAGATTCTGCCAATTTTTTTCTCTAGTCATTCGTTGCCTTCTAAATCTAGTCCTTCTCAAGTCTGACAGCAGGGTTGGACTCGATGAAGCCGAGATCGACCTTGTGACCCAGGAGTTCTCGGATGTTGCTGACGCCGTATCTGGTACATTGTTAGTATCGAAGATCCATTCTGTATCGTGTTTGTTTCTGACTTACTTGATCATGGTAGGTCTCTCCAGACTCAATCCCCATCCGTAGACCTGCATGCCCTTGGGGATACCCATGGGTTCTAACATCTCCGGACGGAACATACCACTGTTTCCGATCTCCACCCACTTACCAAGGCCAGCGTGGTAACCGAAGATCTCCATACTGGGCTCGGTGTAGGGGTTGTAGGCCGGCTTGAAGCGGAGCTGGTGGATGCCCATCTTGGCGAAGAAGACCTCCATGAAGCCAATCAAACCACCAAGGGTGAGACCAAAGTCGGCAATGACACCCTCAATCTGGTGGAACTCGGCCAAGTGGGTGGCGTCGACCGCCTCGTTACGGAACACTCGGTCGATACTGAAGTATCTCGCCGGGCGGGGGTTGGCCGCCAGCTTGTGCAGAACATATGTCGAAACCGAGGTGGTGTGTGTGCGGAGAACCAGCCGCAGCGCCTCGTCGGCATCCCAGGGGTAGCGGTAGCCAATGGATCCGTACTTGCCATTCTCGTGTACCTGGCGGACGTCCTCCCAGTACTGCTTGTAGTCGAGGGGCTTCTCCTGGGCGGCGTTCGAGGCCGGCTGGATGGACTTGATACGGTGAGGGTCGTTCTCTGGGTCCTCGCGGGGCGGGTCGGCCTTGACCGGGTCGGCGATGTAGAAGGTATCTTGAAGGTCACGGGCGGGGTGTTGCTGAGGGACGAAGAGGGCGTCGAAGTTCCAGAAGCCCGTCTCGACGAAACGGTTGGTAGGCATCTCCTCGAAACCCATTTCGAAGAAGATGTTGCGGAATTCCTGGCGCACCTTGTTCAGGGGGTGGAAAGCACCAGCGGGCGTGGGGGCACCCTTGGCCTTGAAGTTGTAGGGCTTCAGCTGGGCCGTCTTCCAGGAGCCATTCATGAGCATCTCCGCGGTCAGGTCGGTCTCCTCCTTGACGAATTCGCGCGCGAACTTGGGACCCTTGGAGATCTTGAAGGAGATGACCTTCTGCAGGGCGACCAGCTTGCGCCGCTTCAGATCTGTGAGGGCCTTCTGGTCGTTCAGAGTCTGAGTGTTTTTGACCGTCAGCAACAACTCGCGGGTCTCGTCCACGATGGAGTCGGTCGTCGCCCGCAGAAGATCTTTGTCCTTCTTGATCCAGCCCTTCTTGAAAGCATTGCCCTGACCGATCTTGGCGTTGTCCTTTCCAACGACTCCGGGCAATTCGGCGATCTTCAATCCGTCCATGGCAGCCAACACGGCCTGGAACACTTTGGCTTCGTGACTGCCATTTGTGGCGATTTCATCACCTTCGGGGGTCAAGACAGCAACCTCTTTATCGAAGGTCTCATACTCGACCATCTGTCGGGAGGCTAGACGGTCGAGGGCGGCCTTGACGTTTAGTGAGGGGGTGGAGGGGAAGGCTTCGCTGGAGAGGATGGAGGCGTCGGACGCGGACAGGGCGTCCAGGATGGGGCTCGTCATATCGGTCGCCATGATTGCGAGTCGTGAACCCCGAGGCACGGATCTAAGGGGCGTAAAAGGGTGCTGAGAAGACCGACTGTGCGATTGGGGACTTCAATCAGATACTTGCCCACTTTCCGAAATTGTGACTCTTTCGGGCACCTCGTCGATTACGGCGAACGTCAAAGACCAGCTGTGCCGTCCCGTGACCAGCCGGTGGTTTTTACCCCGCCATCCCGTTTGGCTGCTTTTCTCTTACTGATAGTTTAGTTGGAGTATAGAATTATAACACTAATTATCGACATGTCATGACTCTTCAGATCGATCCTCCGCAGTTTGTATGCATGCAGATGTGTATGTATCCTGGACGATCTCAGAATGAGGGGTCACCAGTCTGTCTCTCTTGTGCCAATGCAATACCCTATGGTCTTTGCTGCTTAATTCCTGGCCACACACCCCCCCCGGGGACCGGTTCTGCAGCTGAGCAGAAGATGTTCGCATGATCTTGCTTGAAGATCAAGCGATCAGATCAACTGCAACTACTGAGGTGGTGGTGTCGCTAGTAACACTCGGTTGCCTCCCGACTTGCATTGGGAGGAGGGGGGTATTCAGAACCAAGAAATGCGTGACAGAAACTGGAAAATGCAGCAGTCTGTGCAATGTAAATATAGCACAGGAGGACTTGATGATGCCGCTGGTGGAATAATTAGTACACATCACAGGCCGAAACCTGAAGAATATATACTACTACCACCAGCGACTTATTCATTTCCTGCCATACTCACGCTAAACATCAGGGCGAGCACTGCATTTATTCTTAATTATTACTCCCAGCCATGCCAATGATTGCGGATAGTTCCATACGTGCACCCTGCCCAGTAGTAGTTGTGTAGTGACTATGCCTCTGCCGTTCGACGAGCTGCAGCCTGCCACAATCCGAGATAGTAGCAAGTCCTAGAGGCTATCTCATGCAGCCACACTACCCAATATGGAGGAGTGTACTCCGCATCGACTATAACTCACCACGAAACACGAGCAAGAGCAAGATTTTGAGAATATTTACCTGGCTGACGGAGATTGCATCAGCGCTAGTGACCTTTTTTGTCTCTCGTGAGTCCCCAAGCGCAACGGCTCCGACCATAATCCGGGGACTCCGTAACTAAGTGACCTGAACGAAGGTTTGTCTAAACCATGCAGCTTTATTGCTATCAGTCGTGGCTGTTGGCAGATGGGCTAGATACCGCGCCTTTTAGTCCGATAGCCTTGGCCAATTTAGCTCCTCATCCGACAGTTAGGCGAGGCTTAAGGCGAGTTAGTCGCCCATTTAATTGCAGTAATTGGTGGCCAGGGCTATTCCACGTACTCATTCAGCACATCGATGTCACCGGATCATGACTGGCCCGCGTTTCTGGGAAATCTTGCTTTACAGATTTTGAGCGGATCTCGAACAGTCGGGTTTTCCATGAAGTCATTTTTCAAAGCAAGCTTCAGCGATTTGGTACTTTGATGGTCCAGACGTGGCCCGAGACTGCTAATAGGTCGACCAGAATCTTAAGGATGTACTATGTATGTATGCATGCATGGTAGGGCGCAACCCACCTCGGTCGCCTGGGGAAGAAATTGATAGCACCCCATGATGGATCAAAGTCTGATACATCTCGCATGTCGCCGGACAAGAACAGCAGCACCGCCTCGATGAGTAGAAAAGACGATACACACATACATACTGATAACCTGTATGTATGTATCGGGGATCCTTACAGTAACAACCTTGAACCTCGCATGAGAGTCCCAGACGGGCCTAGCTCGTGGGGCTAAAGAAGGCCCTCCGAATTTGGCTGGGTCTGATTGGCCATTCCGTGGAACAGATGGGTCTCGCACGCGACCGTTGGGTCTGGACTGGGCGCCGTCGACGCCTCGGGGATCTTGTCGATACACATTCCCCGTATGAAGATTACCTCACCCTCTCATTCTCGGCCATTCTTCCTGGAAACTCGCTGGCACTGCCCTCTACCATGTGTGTTCTCCCATACTTGGAACCTCTCTTGCTTCGCTTTCACCATTCTTCCCCCCCACCATGACGCTGAGGACCGACGCCTCCGGTTCGGAGCGAGAGCCCAACTCAGGTCTCAAACCCGGATGGGAAGTCTAAAATTCAGAGTTGACCGACGAACCTTGGTCTTGGGGCCTTGCTACTTCGCATACTAGCATTTAGGGGATCCGTAAGGTATCCGACGACCCGGGAATTTTCCAGACTGAACTTATCCGACGAACGCGAGGGCTGATTCATGCAGTCAAATAGGCAGCAGCTCGGTAGTTAAAAAGCCAAATCCACAGAGGATCTTCACGCAAGGTCAACTATCCGGTTAGGCATGGGACGGAGTACGGAGTACCACTACTGACTTGCCTATACCGTGTGCCCTCGTCGTTCCTGAATAGACTTGGGTTGGTTGATCTACTCCCTGATCATCCCCGATCAACGGTTA